TCTTAAAGGCTATTGTTGGAAAATTTGGTTTATAAAGCTTATTTTGGGCCAACTTTAAACCCAAAATTGAGTGGGCCCTGAACGTCTTTTGGGGCGGGTCTGAAGAGGTGACGTGTTCCTTGCCTCGTGGCAAGTTACATGGTGAAGACGGTTCGTCAAAACCATTTATGAGTGAATGGAAACGTGACTTCGTTTTCGGGTTCGTGTAATAGGAAATTTAAGGAAGTAAATGTGGGTTTCTTTGGAAAGGGTTGTCTCACATTGAAACTTTAAGAGAATTTTGTTGAGTATATAAGCTCTACCCTACAACACTTGGGTTAGGCCCCAAGGGGCACCCCAAGTTTGTAGAAGGGAGGAGTTATGGACAAAGTGTACTTTAGGCCAAACCACCACACGCGTGCACGCCGCCGTTTCTGACCGTGCCGGGTGCGGGTGTGGGTCGGGTCTCCTATTAATTTTTTGGACAAAATTTATTTGAATCTTTTCCAAAATTTCTTGTGGGAAAAATTAATTTAAATTATATAATTTGAATTTGAATTTGAATTCAAATTCTTGTCCAAAAGTTGTGTCTCTTTCTGTCTGAATTTCCTATAGTAACTACCGAACAGTTTTAATCAGTTTCAAATTTGTTAAAATGTCCAAACAGATTCAAAAATCTAGACATTTTCAACTGCAGCAGTTAAATCTGTTGAAAACAGTTTGCATATCTGTTTGTTTTCAAACAGCACCTGTTGGATTCAAACCACACCTGTTCATTTAAATATTATACCTGTTCGGATAGCACTTGTGCTGCCTATAAATACCAACATTCCAGTAGTGTTTTTGTATCCTGAAAATCAGTCTGCAACTTATATATTTGCTGTCCAATTTTCTCCGTTGCATTATTAATTCTTCATTCTAGTTTTAAAGTAAATTCAAAGAGAGTATAGGACACAAGGTTCTAGTTCACCGGACAAATTTTTTTGAAGTGCTTCTACAAATTTGTGAAGATCATTGTATCTTGGGAGATAGACGCCACTCAACCGAAAGCACCGAAGTGGGGCGAATCTGTCTTACGGACAGAATGCCACACACTCGACTTGGTCTTTCAATTTTCTTCGATAAATAAATTCGGTACGTTATTTATTTATTTGTTTGAATTTTGTTTCTATTTATTTTATTTACACAGAAGATTGTTCCAGCAGTCTAATATGGCATTTTACTTGGGCTATAATGTTTGTTCCTAGGTTTGATCTCCCTGGTTGAAACCGAGTCTACAAATAATGAGGTTATATTGGGTTGAGGTCCACTTGTCAAAAGAAATTCTGCAGAAACTAGTTCGAACTGACATATTATTAACAGACATATAATTAATATCATGGTGACTATGCTGGTCTAAATTGAATTCTATGTATATAAGCATAATTAATGAAATAACAATGAGATGTAGGAATTTTCTATTTTAATGATTGCACAAAATTAAATTATGTGAAGATCAAAAGAATCAAAACCCTTAATCAGCAGTTGCATGTTAAGTACTCCAAAATTTGGTACCGGCTTATGATTTTGGTGAGTGCCTGCCACCAAGTTCACTCTTCTTGTTACTTGATGCTCCTGGAACCATACAAGGGTGTCCAAAAGAATAGGCAATGCATTGGATGAGAATCTAAAACATGGTTCTCTTGAATTTTTGTGACTTCCCAAGTGTGTCGTGCATATTGGTTGGACAGTCTGCTAGACTTATCTTCTTCTTTTTTTTTCCTAAAAGGGTGCTGTGGTGTATGTACTGAATCAACCTCTGCCTTTTGGTTGAGGATGTCCCTGGTGATTGTGTCATGCGTTTTCAGATGCTTTTGAATCATTTGGTTCATTTGTATGATCGATTTTTAAGTTGAAATATATTCTGATAAGCCAGTTAAATTTTGTAGTGTTTATTTCTTTGATCACTTTTGTTTTTTGTTGTTTGTCTTACATGACTATTGGAAATGGTATGAAGTGTGAGCTATACTTGCATGTTGGATGATCATTTCCTTGTGTGATGCACTGTTCTAATAATTTCTGGTATCTATGTCTAGCACTAGTTAATATGCTTGCCTGTTTTGTTTAGGTAATACTAGCAACTAATATTGCTGAAACATCCGTAACAATACCTGGAATCAAGTATGTGATAGATCCTGGATTGATGAAAGCATGCACCTACCGTGCTTGTACAACAATGGAATCATTGATTTTTGTTCCAACCTCAAAAGCACAGGCTTTGCAAAGAAGGTAGGCATACTGGATTACTAAAGGACAGAAAAATCCATGTTATATTTTAGTGATTTCATTTACTATTTTGAGTAAATTGTCCTCCTTAAAAAAGAGATCTACTTATGTTCTGAGCTATCTTTTTCATGGAGTGGGTGGGTGGGGGAGAGTACCTATAGGTTTACGAACTTCATCATATAAACAAGCCAAATGATGTAGATTTTGTTGTATTTACCCAATATTCCTTCTGTATATTTGTTTGCATTTTTCATTGACTGAATATAAACAAATTTTAATCTCATGTCTGCTACTTTATTTCAGTGGATGTGCAGGCCGTGAAGGACCAGGCAAGTGCTTCCGCCTCTACCTTGAGATTGAATTTGAGAAACTCAGGGATTCTACAATTCTAGAGATTACACGGTGCAACCTTTCAAATATCATTTTGCAACTAAAGGCTTTTGGTGTTGATGATATTTTTGGGTTTGATTTCATGGAAAAACCATCAAGGTAAAAATTAAGTCTTGTATTGGTTTAGCATTTTACTCGTTTCACCGATGTTTATTTGTGCATGCATTTTTGATGAGTTATTTTATGCCAACCTTACTCAGCCCACTATATTATATGAACAAATTTAAATTGAAGATGGAGAAAGGTTTCTGGGTTTGTAGTGAAGCAGGGAAAGAAAAAATGAAAGGGTGTATTTCATGGCTCTGAGTCGGTACTTTTGATCATTAGCAACTAGGTTGTGAGTGATTTCCATGAGTGATTAGTAACTAAGCAAAGGAAAGCCAAAGGGGGTGGTGTTAAACCAGAAAGAAAAGAACAGAAGATTTGTAATCATGATTTCTTTCATAATCTATTTTTTATTGTCCTCTTCTATTGTCTGCTTTCTTGAGGAGCTTGCACTATCTACCATAAACTTTTGTTTTTTGACATTTACTGAATGCTCATTTCTATTCTTATGGAAGTGCTGTATAATTAGTGGAAGGAATTTATCGCCATCAGTTTTACAATTTGACTAGGGATGCTGTCATCAAATCATTGGAGATACTGGTGTTGCTAGATGCTATAATAGAAGAATATAAATTTTCGGACCCAATTGGGCATCAAATGGCCCGGTTTCCCTTAAAGCCTATTCATTCTAAAGCACTCATCCTGGCTAGCCAGTTCAATTGCATGGAAGAAATGTTAATAACTGTTGCAATGCTCTCAGTGGAATCTATCTTTTATGCTCCTTGTGAGAAGTTAAGAGGAGGTATGCATTCATGACTTATTTGTAATGCATTTATGTAGCTAGTGTTCATGAAGCTGCTTAAGTCATTCAATAAAGTGATCGTAAGTTTTTTTATTTGCCTTAGCAACTGGAATTGATTAACTATATTATAAATGAAGCCATTGGCTTTTCGATTTTCAGTCAGTGAGATGATTCAGTATGGGAAATAAAAACTCAATCAAATTATGATGGATATTTTGAGTAGTTGAACACAAGATGAATTTGTCATTGTAGACCAATTACGTGAAAGCTGTCATTGTTAAGTATTTTTGGTGTTTGTTTCTCCTCATCTATTATTCATCATGATGAGGTTTTGCGGGTCTGTCACCTAGTTAATTTAATTGATGTGATCCCATTCTTTTTTTTAATGTTTTTTTTTTGTTTTGTTTTTGGATGTGTGTGTGTGTGTGAGAGAGAGAGGGAGAGGGGGGGGGGGGGGGGGAATGGCAGGGCGAAGAGTGATTCAATCTGGAAATCGAGTATTCGCTACATATTTTTCCCTTTCTGGTTGGGCACAAACTGCAACAAAGTGCTTCTCAAGCCTAGAGGGAGACCATCTGATTTTCACAAACAGTATGGTGCAAAAAAGCTACTACAAAAAAACAACCTACAAGAAATCAGTATTTTAGGAACAAATTTATTCCGTCCCTAAAAGTATAATATTTGTTGGGAAAAACTTTAACCAACAAATTTTCTTTGTCGTGAAGTTTGTCCCAAATGACCCGTCCGGAAAAGTCAAAAAATGACTTTTAGAGACAAAATTTTGCATTCGTCACTATAAATAGACTTTTAAAGACAAAAATATGTGATTGCAAAAAATTTTGATTTTGAGACAACAAAAATTTGTCTCTATAAGTCTAATTATAGTCCACCAGACGGAGTAGTTATAGAGACAAAAATTAATTTTTAAGATAACATAAATTGGCCTCTAAAACAACATAAATTAGTCTCTAAAAGTTTAGTTTTGGGGACAAATGAAAGTGGTCTCTAAAAGTCTTAGTTTTTGGAACAAATGAAAATGGTGTGTTTGTAAAGGTTATAATTTTTTTGAGACAACTAAAATTAGTCTCTAAAAGTTTGAATTTTTTTTTTTTTTGGGTTAACAATTAGTCTAAAAATACTAGTATGAACATCAATTTATATTCCTTTTTTGATTTCTCAACAACCAAACAAAAAATATCAAACATATCATCAAACCATCTGTTCATTTCCAAATTAAAATTCAACTACACAGGGAAAAAAAAAAATGCTCATCACTTAAAGAGGCTTGGCTTGTTTGGCATTATCAAAAAAATCTAAAAAGCCAAAAAGCCACTAAAAAAATAAAAAAAACCATATTATTTATCTCTTTTTTGGCGGGAAATCTGTCAATTGAAACAAAAAAGAAAGCAAAACAGCGCTACACAAAACTGTGCAGCCACACATCCCAAGTTAATTGAAAACGTGGCACACTTGTAGCCACACATGCCATAAAAAAAAGAAAAAAAGAAAAAAAAGAAAATAGACATAAAGTGCACTGCGTATTATTGCTGCTTGTGTCAGCGAGGGTAATTTCGATAACAAACAAATACCATGCTCTGATTCATTAGTATGTAATATCTTGATTGTATATCATAAACTGACAGAGATTTCAAAAATATAATTTCCAATTTATAAAGCTACTGCCATAAGTGTTGTTTGTAGCATTCAACTATTCAAAGAACAGATTGTAATTGGAGTTATATCTACCAACACAACAAAACAACTCAACTCATCGCATCTTCTTCTCAATGGTTTCGTTGAAATGGCATTCAAAATCTAGCAGAGAGCTCCCAAGCTTCAAATTGATGCAAGCTTGTAGGACCTGCATAGAATAGGCCAAACTCTCAAATAGATTACCAATTAAAAATTATCCAATGATAGATTAATTTAATAGATTGCAATTTAATGTGCCAATTTTAGTATCTGCAGCAATCACACATAAATCTTAGTACACAAAGCCACCCAAAATTCACTATCAATATTCAAGAGTTAACAAAGATTAAATTAAATCAACTTGCTACAAAAATTTGAAAATAATTACTCCAAGATAGACACAGTTGACATTGATGTTGTGAAAACAAGATGAAGAATGGGTTACCTTGCATGGTTTATAGTTGAGCTCAACATTGTTTAACTGACATGCTTATACAGGGAATTATAGCTAATAACATTGGATACATGATATAAAAATATTTGCAATCTTTTCTATCTCATATGAGGAATCCATGGGATTGTTAAAAGCAAAGTCTAGGATCATAAACGAAATGCTACAAAAACCTTTAATCTTTCATTAATTCTTAATACCAAGACTCAATCTGCCACATCATGACCATAACATTAGCAAGACAATAAGACAAAGTAAAGGAAATATAACCAGACAATTCACTTATGTGCTAAGCTAAACCACATTAAAAACTTCATTTTCCATTTCTGAACACATCCCCTCTATATCTATTATCTACTCCAAGTTCTTGTACTCATTCCATATGCAACAATCATAATTCACACCCATTAACATCATTACATTCATTGGCTACTAGCTACAGAAAAGGTGAAGGCAGATTTCAATTCCAATAGAAATATAATAGGATTCTACCACCAAGAAGTTCTTAATAGCAGAAAAAAACCAAGTTGCTAATCATAGAACTTAGGGCGTAAGAATTACTAATTTGCAGAAAATGAATTAACAACAAAAACAAATAAGCCACGAATCATATTGGGGGCATTCAATAACAACAAACACGAGAAGCATAAACACATGGACAACTTTTGTTTTCAAAATAATACACCATGCTCAACAAATTGTTCAGATGCAGACATGAAGAGGGTCCTGATCTCACCTGACGCCATTTGAACATTGTCATCTGCTATAGGATCACTAGCACCTGCTCCCATATCAAAGAGTTTAACTCTCTTATTACCAAGGCTGCTTACATACCTGACCCGCCAAATAGAAAAAAATATGACTTGAAGGTGGGAAAACACAGAAGATAGAGACATCATAGATAATCACAAGAACATAAAATCAGTCACAAAGATAATGCATTGCCACTTTCAGTATCTTAAGTAATTCAACGCTTCAAATCTAAACACGTTTTGAGGCTATGTCTAATAACAAATAATATTATGATCCAAACGCTTGGTTTCATGATTTTTCTTTTTAATGAATACTGCATTGGTGGTTGGCTAGGAAAGGAGACACTCATTTAACTACTGGTCTTGACAACAACAAATTTGAACACAAGATCTCACAAGAAAATCCATAATCTTAAACAAACGAGCTTACGTTTTTCTCAAGGCCACATGAATTCAGCTCATGAGATTTTCTATTCTAATTTACAGCTATTGAGGAAGAAAACCATGGAAGAATACTTCAAGCCAACTGAAGCAGAACATAGTGCAGACAAAGAAAATGTTTTCTGGATTTAGTGTATTAGGTTAATTTTATCTATAAACTAATAAATTCAATTCAATGATCAGCATCAACTGTTGTCAACTTTGTTTTGCCTTGTTACAGTAATGTATATCAGTAATAAACTGTTTCTTTTTCTTTTTTTTTTAGCAGCCTCAGAAAGTTCAAAATTTTAATAATTACAAATTGATTTGAATAAAGTTGTGAACTGATAAGAATCTCTATCACAAAATAGTGGCCCCACAGTTTTTGTAATCTTTGATTGATCTGCGTGGTCAAGAAATTTGACAATAGGGACAATAGCTTCTCAAAAATAATTTAATAGATGTAACTTTCATTTGAGAAGAGCAAGGGCTCAAAATCAAAGGTCTAAGGGCATTCTTTCACTTCAAGGCAAATGATTAAGCATCAAGATTTGACATGGTAATAATACTAATTGACAGAACAAAAAAAAAAAAAAAAAATCAAAATCAAAGGTCCAAGGGCATTTCTGGATTTAAATTAGATGTTTAACATGCACACCACACAATTTTGATTTTTTTATTTTAATTCAATTCACACCACTGTATTCTTATATTGCCTTCTTCATCAGTCTTCAAACCCCAACTCTAACTCATTTCCACCGCCTCCATCAGTGTCGCCCCAACCCAACCCCTTCCTGTCACCTTCTCCTCTGCCACCTTCTCTTTCAATCTGAAGAGGCAACCTAATGATAATTGGTTTCTATCAAATTGGAGACTCCCTATCTCTATCTTGAAAAATGTTACTACTGTTCATACTGGTCTTGGTGCTATTGGGTTACCTGTTTCTTCTGTGGGTGGAACATGATGAGCTATAAAATGTGGGAACCATATATGACTTCTAACTTTGTTTATTTGCAGGACTGTATAGCTGGTACTGATGTAGGGATGGAGGGCAACTGGAACTTTCATACCAAATCAACTATGGAACTATACCATTTGAGGATATTTATTCCCTCTTACATCATTATACAATTGATTTACAATATATTAAGTTACCTGATAAAATATGTGCAATCATCAATAGTAAGATATTATTGGCTCATGGGTGTGTGTCCGCACACTTTTTTCTTGATGATAAATGTGGTTAATTGTTGAAAATCCAACATGTGCATAAGGTATTTACAGTCACAAGTTGATGAGCATGATTACCTTTAAATAAATTCAACATTTATACTAAGTTTAAAACTTAAAATTCTTTTTGTTCGACCTCAATTAAATAGATTAGCTAGGTTATCCACTGAAAAAATATTATAGATAATATTCATTAGACAAACTTAATTAGTTATTTTGTAGTTAAATTGCAAGAAGATGTTTATGGAATTCTAGATATATATATATATATATATATATGGATTGTAACAGTGCAACCCTGTAATAGTGTTCTAATTTTGTGTTCCATTTTAAGTTTGAGCATCCATGGCCTTTGACAGTTGGGTTGTGTATAGTCCGGGCCAGATATTTTCGTAACAATATTCATTTATTGGGTATAGTCCGGGCCTGCTAGTATAGGGGCCAACTCCAGAGGAATCCACCACCACACTTGAGGCCTGTGGTAGTTGATCTGATCACCCTGATTCCTTCATTTATACCTTGCACATGCATATGCATTGCATTGCAGGTCCAAATGTTTTGATATTCATTAAAATGTTTAACTCATGTTCCTTCATAGATACAATTTTGTTGTTTTCTATAATAAAAATTATTTGGTCAACAAATACAGTTTTTGTAAAGCTTTAACAAAAATTAAATCAATTAGATGTGGGTAGAGATGTGACTAAACACTATAAATCAAACTTAGGTTGCTTACAAAAATAATATTAAACAAGTCTCTAGTACATTTGATCCCACATTAATGATGCTCTCAAGTCCTATATATATACCTTTGCTCTGTTAACAGAAACTGACTTACACCTAAAAGATGTAGTTTAGCGGATTACTAGGTGTGTAGAACTGTGTATCAAGGGGGAACACATGAGATTTCCCAATCCACACAATGACTATAGTTCCTGATATTTTCATTCTCTACTCTTCTTAGTAACAAATTTGTGTTTCAACCTTCCTCAAAATTTACTTAAATCTGTGGTAACCAAACCAATGACATGAAATCATACAGCAAATTTAAAGGACAGAGGAGTGCAAAAAGATTTCATCTAGCAAATTCAGAGGATTTCAAGAATGAACGAAACAATTTCATCCAGCAAAATTAGGTAGTTTCTATTTTCCACTTTATTATGTCACAATTCATTCAACCAATATACGTGATTACAAATCACTGAATACAGAACTAATTTAACTTGAGACTAGTCCTGCACGCTACTGCTAAGGATCAAACATGAAAATGTTTTTAGGTAGATTTAGATGCAGTTTTGAGTCCACAATATTGTAAACCTCTTTGCTTGCTTACTTTCTGGTATTCTTACCTACCAGAAGATGAAGTATGGAAAATCATTACTTAGATCTGCACATTTCAATTTGGTAAATTTGATTGAACAAACACATGAATCTATACATGTATACAAAACCATGCACGAAACCGAGGGCTAAAATTGCGATATCAAATCGATTATACGGATACATACATGTATGTATATATATATGGTACCTGATCGGAATCGTTACCGGAGAGTCGTCGGGAAATCAAGAGTCGAGGAGAGATGAGGTGGCAACAGAGCGATCCAGTCCTGGAGAGAGGTGCTATGAGACAATGATGAACCACAGATCAGAATCCGTAGAGAAGAACCATTGAGTTCATATATCGAATCCGTAAAGAGTGAGTGATGAAAAGAAATTAGGGATTTGAAACCTAATATATGAAGAAAGGAAAATGTTTTGTACATCGAAACGTTTTCCCCGAATGGCCTGATTTTTGGAAACCACGTCGTTTCGATTTTGAATTTTTTTTTCTCCTTCTTCTTTCCCTTCCACTTCTCGTTTCTCAAAGGTTGAACCAAATCCAGAGAGAAAAAGAGAAATAGAGAAGGAAGAAGAGAAATAGAGAAGGAAGAAGAGAGGAAAAGGAGGAGGAAGAGAAGAACACGGTGATGGCGGAAGAGGAAGATGTTGATAGCGATGATGATGTGAAAATGTTCGCCGCCTCCAATCTTCGATTCTGCCTCCGATCTCTAATCTCCGCCTCGAATCTGTGTATGATGATGATGTGTTGAAAAAAAAAATCAGATTTTTAAATTTTTTTTTGGTTGATCTCCATGGTGAGTTTGCTTTTTGGTTGATCTTTATATGTGATGATGATGATGTGTTTGGTTCTCTCTTTTTCTGTTGTGTTGATGTTGATGTGTTGAATCCGCGATTGGTTTTGCTTTTGATTTGTTAAATCTGTGATTGGTTTGTGAGTTTGAATATGTGATTGGTTTTGGTTGTTTGAATCTATGATTGGTTTGTGGGTTTGAATATTTGATTGGTTTGGGTTTGAATCTCTCTGTCTCTCCTCTCATTTTATCTTCTCTTCTTTCTTTCTTTCTTCTTCTTCTTCTCCTTCTGCAACGAGTTATGGAAAAAAAAAAAAAAAACCCCAAAACGACGTCATTTTAAGACACGTAGCGGGATTGATGAAGAAATTGGGGATTTGACAGAGAGGGAGAGAGTGGGTGATGAAACTGATGCATTTTTTGTTTTTGTTTTCGATAGTCTCGATTATTAAGTTCAAAAATTAATATATAAAATATAATAATATATGATTTGGGTTTATTAGGAGTCAATTAAAATTGTAGAGAAAAATGATTGATCTTTTTACAATCAAGTAAATTTGTCTAAAAAATGTAATAACATAATTAAATATATATATATATATATATTTTAAATTCTTTCATTTTGTCCTTAAAAGTGTAATTTTTACAGACAAATTATTTTTGTCTCTAAAAATTTATCTTTAAAATCTTAATTTCTTGTATTCAATCACAAAGAAAATGTTGGGACATAAAGAGAACACCAATTAGTAGATACCCAGATCATGACGGAAACTTCTGAGAAGCAAACGGGCCTTAGCCTGTGTTTGGATCATGAATTTGGGTAAGGATTTGTGGAGGGAAAGAAAATGAGAGAGAAACCTCATTTCTCTCTCTCTAGCTTCTCTATTTCGTCTCTCTCTCTCTCTCTAAAACCCAACCTCACTTCACTCCCTTCAATGGCCACTGCCACCACCGCCACCGCAAATACCATTGTCGTCGGAGTCGATTTTATCACCGTTGGAGTTCAATCTGTGAAGTTGAATCCATATTGCAATCAAAGTGCGAACTCAGATCTAGAGCAAAAAGCAAGTTACGAAGATCGATTGACAAGGGAATCCACAAACAGAACTCGATTCGATGACAACCCAACTGCTGCGAGATTGACCTAGGTTAGTGTTTTCGGGCTCTGCGAACAACTGCGAGCAACTTTGAACAACTGCGAACAAGGCTTGTGACCTTTTTAGCCTGATTTTGATTTTGATTCAAGAGAACAAAATTTGAATCAAGAGAGAGCTTCGCGAATCAAGAAGAGTCAAAGAACCTTCGGCTTTGATGGGGCAATGCTATGGTAAGATTATTCCTACTAGTTTTTTTTATCCGTTGAACATTCTACATTTGTTATGTTATTGTTCTTTGTTCAATTTTCTCTAGTTTGATCAAAAACACAAATTTTCTCTACACAATTTTATTTGGATAGAGCCACACAAAGCCACACAAATTTCTCTGGATTTCTTTGATACTCAGAAAAAATTAGTCAAAATGGTGATTGTTCAATTTTCTCTGATTTATTGTTTTTAACCAATTTTCTCTATTTTGCTTTCTCTGGAGAGAAAATTAATGGGAGGTTTAGAGAAATTCTTTTGTTGGGTAAAATTAATAAAAAAAATAATGTTTTAATTATTATATTCAATTCAAGTGTATGACAAATGTTTAAAATATTATTTTTTATTAAATTTAATAATTAAAATGTTTATTTTTCTATATTTTTACTTAAAAATTTAAAAATTTAAATTTAAAAAGACAAAATTAAAATTAAAAATTTATTTTGTTATAATATTCAAACTTAATTATTATAATTATTTTTTTAATTCTTTCTTGTTTTTTATCCAATATTGGGCCGTTCAAGATCATCTAATTTCCGTGGGAATTCTATTTGAATCCAAAATATGTCTTAATACATTCAATTTAAATTTATAAATTTTAATTCATATTATATCCTAATATGAATTTACTAATAAGGACAACGCATATTAAATCCTAAAATAATTTTTTTTTTCTCTCATGGTATACCCTAATCAGTTATTTCTATTTAAATTTTTGTGTCTTCTTCCTCAAGAGATCAAAGTGTTTTTTTTTTTCTTATTCTTCTTCTTCTTCACCATCTCTCTTTGGCTTATTTTGGGAAGTGGGTTAAAAGACACTCCCGAACTTTTAACTCACTTCTCTCTCTTACAAAAGGTCAAAAAATAACTTTTAATCATCTTCCCAAAACACCCCAAAACTCCAATCCATCCTTTCAAAACTCACCATCATTATTAACATCATTGTTTTTTATTATTTTGAAACCCTAAACCTAGAAGAAAGTTTTAACAAAATCAAATAATGGATGAGAGTAATAATCAAAATAGTTTTTTGAAGTAATCCATAAAAAAGGAGATAAGTATTCATATAAAGGAGTTTCACAATTTTTGTAGAACACGATCAATTAATTTTTAAATATCGTTTTTTTGACAAAAATTAAAAGGTCAAGTAGTTAGATTAACAATAACATATTATTGGAGTTGTTCTTATTTTGTCATTTAAATAGTATATTATTTGAGAACTACTCTTTCTTGTTAGTGTCTGATATTTATGTGTTTATAAGTTTGGTTTTTATTTTTTCACGAGCATTCTTGTGAATAATTTATAATGTAAAAGTTTTTTTTTTTTCTGTATTTATAATGCTTATGTGCTTATAAGTTTGATTTTTTTTTTTTTGTATTTAAGAATTATTTTACGGATTGAATTTTTTTTGAAATAATTTAATTTTTTAAATTTGTTTATTATTTATTATTTGGGTTTACTTTGAAGATAATTTGAAAAAAATAATATAATGTAATGAGAGTAAAATAAAATTTTAAATAATTAAATAAGGTATACTTAGAAATTAAGAGTAGTTAATAATTTTTGTGGGTGTAAATAGAATCCCCAATTTTTGTTGAATAAACTTTGGGCTAAGAAAACACAAAATCGTTTATAGGGCTTCTTCTCCAGCCCAGCCTACACCAGACCAGACCAGCACAAACACCTCGGACGACAGTGATTTGTCAGTGACAGCTCAAACTTTCAATTCAGCCAATTCCCTCTTTACAGTTACCACCTCTCTCTCTCTCTCTCTCTCTCTCTTTCTTCTATGTACTTCTCTCCCACCTCTCGCAAAGTATAAATTTGTTATGGTTATCGTTGTACTTTATAGGTTGATTGGAGTTGTTGCAATAGACTATAAATTTGTTATGGTTTTCTTCTATATCTCTGTACGAGCACGAAATAATTCTTCTCGTATGATCCTGTTGATCAAGTTTGTGCTCCTTCAAACGCCGTCGCTTTAATTCCTGAAAACACAAATGTGAGCTAGTCGGCGGCGTGTGCCGGAAACCCCTCCGATGCCTAAGTCAGCAACTAAACAATAGACAATAAGCTCTGTGTATTCTAGAGTAAGAATTAGGATACCTGTACATAGGTTTGGTCATGAGCTTTTATAGACTTGGCCTGGCCCAATCCTAGTAGGATTCAAACTCTTCTTATAAGAGTCCTTCTAAGAATCACACACCTTACTCACTACCAACCAAGTGAGATGATTTGCACAATCCTGGTAGGACTTTACTCTCCTTGGCAGAGTCCTCCTAGGAGTCACACTCCTACTCACTACCAACCAAGTGAGATGGTTTTGCATAATCCTAGTAGGACTCTACTCTCCTTAGTAGAGTCCTCCTAGGAGTCTCAAGCCCAAGGATAATGATTATCCCTAAAACACCTTCATCATTGCAAGCCAAGTGAGATGGCTGAACCCTTACCTCGGCTGACATTGCAGTCAACCGTGCTCACACAGCTCGGTGATACTTTAAGCACCACTGTCAGTCTTGACTCTGAGATGACGCCCTGCAGAGCTATCCTTTAGCTCGGTTCTCCCTCCACTGATACCTCGGTCCAGGATAGCTAGGTCAGGTCACTGGTAACCCATCTCTGACCGACCCGATGTTTAGATGATCAAGGACCGTGCTACATAAATAATTACCTCGGCCTATAGTTTGGCCCAAACCCGAAATATGAGATGCCTTTTTGGCCTAAGACCGAGCTACACCAGCCCTTATCTCGGCCCATTACATGGCCTAACTCCCAAAAAAGACTCTTCCTAGCTCGGCCCAATTTGTTTACAAATTACCCTCTCAATTGCCCTTTAATTCCATTTGCGTAGCATGATTGGGATTATTTTTCCTCCAGCCGAGCTAAGAACACCCCACTCTACCGAGCTAAAAAGTTATTCGGTTTTATAGCTCGTTCAGCCCCAATAAGCCTTGTCAATTGCTCAATATGTTCTTTCACTAATCTGGTACGACGCCATTCCCAAGATATGTGGCGTGTCCCCATTATCCTCGTTCTCTTGTTACAATCGTCATGTACCTTTTGTAATCGTCTTCCAATTAATGAAAAATTTCGATCTCTTTGCTTGGTTACTGTGTTTCTTTGTCAATGTTTTGCATCATTCCGACCGCATGCCTAGCCAAACTAATTAGCTTGGCCTTACCTGATCCTGCTAACCTTCTTTGGCCGAGATACGCATCTTGGCTGAAGAATCCAAAAAACTTGTTGGTCAAACCTGCCAACCTACTTTGGCTGAAGTAACTGTCATCCTGGCCAAAGAATGCAAAAATTTTGTTAGTCAAACCTGCTAACCTGCTTTGGCCGAGGTAACTGTCATCCCGGTCAAGGAGTTTAAAAAAGTTTTGTTGGTCAAACCTGCCAACCTTCTTTGCCCTCCTATTGTGCAAGGAATCTAAAATTTTTTGTTAGTCAAACCTGCCAAC